ACCGATAATGCACTCATAATGGATTTGCTTTCTTTTCTTTTTTGGTATCATTACATACACATAATATTGGATAAAAATTCTTTTTCCAAATCACAATGAATTGGGGTTAACTTTATATATAAAATTTCTTTTCACAGTAAATTTTAATTATTTTTATAATTAATTTTTTTCCTATATTTCTATTCAATATGTACTAAAACATTTGTTACGATGTATTTAACTAATGTTCTAGAGGGCCTGGCTGTGCTTTGTACAGCTGAGGTACCTCTAGCTTTCATGATAGGAGGGGCCTTAACTCGGCTCGAGTCGAATTGCTATACTCCTTATCTTGATATGTTTTAACCACAAAATTGGACCATTTGGCTTGTCTATTAGCGATTGAGGCACAAAAATATCTCTGCCCTTTTCGGTTCTTTATTTCCCTATTCTGCTGCTACTATTATACCTTTCCTACCTTATCCTTTTTCCCAGTCATCTTCTTCATTTCCTTGAACCCCATGGCAACTCTCAATCTCTCTAACCTGACCAAAACCCTAAACCCCAGCTTCCAATCCCACCCCAAAACCCCGACTTTTCTGCAATCTCTCCCCAACCCATTTTCTTCTGTCTCCCCATCGTTTCTCCCACTCCAGAAATCCATCCAATTGTCAAGAATCCCGCTTGTAAAAGCAGCTTCTGATAATAATGACTTCTCTGCTAGGAGAAGCAACAGCAGCAGCAATGAGCCGAGAGAGACTATTATGCTACCTGGCTGTGACTATAATCATTGGTTGATTGTCATGGAGTTCCCGAAAGACCCTGCTCCTACTAGAGAACAGATGATTGATACTTATCTTGAAACTCTTGCCAAGGTTCTTGGCAGGTAACTCTATTTTTTTTCCTCTCTCTCGAATTTTTCCACCCTTTTAGTTTGGATTAGATCCTTTTTTTGGGGCCTGATAATGTTATAGCTTGTGTTTTTTTGGCATGGCTATCTTAAAAACAGCATTTGTGTGAGTTGGTGTTGAGGTTTCACCAATTTGGATGGGGGTGTTGTTTGTGCGGTTATTTGATTTTGTCTGGATGAACGGTTGAAATTGTGTGCTTTTGTGCAAATGGGATATTTGGAATGCTGAATGACCTCTAAGAATTGATGTGAAAGATTGAATCTTTGGTGAGAAAGTTTGAAGCTTCTTTTTGGTATTAAAGGGGAGGATTTTGAATTTAAACAATAGTCTTGTATTGCCTAGCTACATAGCTGAAATTTGTTTAGAGTTAGCTTGGTCTGAAGTTTGGCAAAGATCATAAATCAAGAAAGAAACATCGTATCCGTTAGGAAATAATGTACCTCGTTGGGCTTTAATCTGTATTTGGGGAAGGTTCTGGTGAATTAATCTAGACTGACTCTGCGTAGCATGTAGGACGTTATGTTATCTACGTATGTGATTGTTGTTCATGATAAAATTTTGGGAAAGACTATGACTTTAAATATGAAACAAGGGAAGGAAGGAGATGAATACTGTCTCTGTTGATTGAAGTGCAAGTTTGTTACCGATCTTTAGTTGTAGTCCAAATTAATTTCCCTTGCAAAGAAAGAGACCTTACATCTCCTTTTCTGTCAATTGATCTTGATCTGCAACATTGGAAAGAGCAAAATGTTCCTAAGTTCCTAACATCGTTTGGGGTTACTTATGTGAATGAATCAAGAAAATGTCTTGACGCATCACATCTAGGATGTTGTGGTAAAGATGCTACAAGAATACTATAATGAACATTTAAGTAGTTTCATCAATGTGGTTTTATGTGAAAAATTATGTTTATCTTTTGAAATTTCTCATATGTTGGGTCATCTCTCTGTTTGTCAGCATGGAAGAAGCAAAGAAGAATATGTATGCCTTCAGTACGACCACATACACTGGATTCCAGTGCACTGTAGATGAAGAAACATCTGAGAAATTCAAAGGTTATTATTGTGTGAGAATGTAAAATTTGAGTTTACAATGTTATTTTGCAGTGGTCATGATTTTTTTGGGGATAATTTCGGAAACCTCCCTCGAGATTTCTAACAATTTCACCTAGTATTCTTGAACTTTTCAATATTACACTTACCTCTCTTGGCCCTACAAAATGACCATAATAGCCTTAATATATTAATTTTTTTTCATGCAATTAAACAATCCACTCCTAATCTTGTTCATATGAATACATCACACAATAAGACATTTAATGAAAACCAAAATAGAATTCCCTTGTGGAATAATCGATTATGTCCTAAACAGAATTATAACACATTAAAAATTAATTTTAACTTTGCTTGGAGGATCTGGAGATGAATAGAAAAAGATGTAAATTGGGTTTACAAAGGATAGGGATGGTATTGGTACTCCAATATTGGAGGGATAGGATGTTGTATTGATGCGGTTGTTGAAATTTTTTGAGTTTAGCTATGCAAATTTTTTAAATTTCGATCGAGGCTTTAGAATTTAGGGATTGATGGTGGTAATGGTCATGATGATAATGGTACTAATTTGAGATGTGGTAATATGAAAGGTTTAAAACAGTAGATACAAGGGTTGACAATGAGTTTGAGATTTTGTGCATGTTTAATAGTTTTTAAATAATTTTACAAGGTTAAATGAACTTCACAATTTCATGAGGCATTTTGGGTTATTCATTCAAAAATTTGACCATTAAATAGTTTTTGTTACGAAAACGGTAAACTCAGGGAGGTATATGTAATTTTTCAAACCTCAAGGGAATTAGGTGAAATTGTTAAAAATCTCAAGGGAGGTTTCTGAAATTATTCCTTTTTGGTTGGGTGAGGATTTCATCATCTTGATGTACTTGTCATCTTCTATTTTCATATTTTGTAGGAATGCCAGGGGTTCTGTGGGTCCTTCCAGACTCTTATATAGATGTGAAGAACAAGGACTATGGAGGTCTGTTTTAGGAATAGCTGTTCTGCTTTAGTGATTCATTTTATTCCGGATGCAGCCTGAAGTTTTTATATTTTTGTTTTAGGTGACAAGTATGTAAATGGAGAGATAATACCTTGCCAGTACCCTACTTATCAGCCAAAGCAGTCTAATAGATCCAAGTACAAGAGCAAAGCATATGTGAGGCAAAGAGATGGTCCTCCACCTGAACGAAGAAGACCAAGACAAGGAGCTACTCCAGAATCTGCCTCACAATGAGCTCACTGTGAGTTTCAAATCTTCATCCTGGTTCTCCGTACGGACGTTTTTTTTTTTTGGTCTTCAATCAAGACGGTTGTGAATGTGCATTTTGTGTTTCTTTGCCTTCTCTGCTGAAGAAATATTTTGTTTTCGTAGTCTTTTTTTCTGATCAACTCAGTTAAAATGCTTTTTGATTGTTGTGTTAACTCTGCCTCCTTGCAGGTTGTTTTTCATTTTAGAGTTGTCTAGGAAATATTTATCAGAGAGACGCCCATAGTCAAAGGTTAGGAGCGCCTGCGAAAACCTCAAATTCTTGTTCACTGTGTTTCTTGGAGATGCCAAACTTGTAGTCTCATCATGAGTAAGAAGAATCAAGGTTGTATGAGCGTGTAATGAGCAACCGGCTCTCAGGTTCATTGATGAAATTGTTTGAGCTGATGTCGGATGCTAGCAGTTCCAATTTACTTTACTTGCTATCAAGTTATTATACACCCAATAGACAAATCTGATGTTTGTAGATGACTTTGCAATGGTGTGCCTTTTCATCCCTTGAGCAGAATACTTGAAGTCGCAAAACCACGTTATTTATCTGTTACATTTAGGGGAAGCCATAGATGGGCTGCCTCCACAAGGATATGTGCTTTGCAGACTTGTGACTCAAGGCTCTGCCTTCTACAATTGTTGCTACTTGATGCCACCTAGCAACTTATCAGCTGTTATTGCCATATATATAATCTGATTCTTCGCGCTGCAGGACAAACCAACTGCATGATGAAACGGTTTGTGAAGCTCTTTGAAGTCAATCCATTTGATCTGAATTAAGAGTTTTATATCTAACTTCGAGATGAAATACGTAAAATATGCTCCATCTGCTGTCAACAGTCAACTGTCTCAAATTATCATCCTTCCCCACTATTTAGAAGGTCGGTAGAGATTTCGATTTGATCCCTTCTTCATGGCTGCGTTTTCTTGAGCAGATTGTCAAAAAGAAGGGGTAGTAGTTTGTGTTTATGGGATTAGGCATGTAAACAGCCGACATTTCTCTCGATTTTCATCAAGCCAAATCCAAATGCTGCACATGCCCCTGGGCAGCAAAAACGAAAGATGCAACTGCTTGGCATGCTGATCACTGAACTGGCTTCAAATCCTCGGTCCCGAAGCCTCGCTGTAGCAATTCGGTCGCTTTTCCACGTGGACTCTTCACGTTATCCGTACTAAGATTGATGAAGCTGATGCCAACTTTATGAGACAAAAGACGTGCTTTCACGTGGAAGAGTCTGGGTGAAGCGACCGAATTGTGACCGCAGGGCTTTGCAACTGAGGATTTGAAGCCGAATTGTCAAACCGTTTTGCACGTTAGGTAAATAACTTATTTTGTAGAAACGATAATATGTGACCAAATTTCCAGCCAGCATCATTAATCAACTGATGCTGAACTGTAATTCCCCAAATTTCTTTTGAATGACCAGTTTTCAACCATTTTTTCTCCGACACTATCAGTAAAGTCTGGAAATTAGCCCTTCCAGCTTAACAAGAAGGTGGAATGTCATCATCTGAAATTGACATTTTCGTTTTGTCTTACAGATTTATAATAGCCAAATGCAAGTTGTGTACGAAATAAAGCTAGCTTTTCAATAATGTGACTTCTATATTCAATTTTTCCACTATTGACATGAACAACAACTAGTCCTTTCACGTTTGCTTTCCCCCCCTCTTGCCCCCATATTGTACGTGTGGATAAGAATCCAATGGCTAACATTCTAATTCTGTTTGAGATACACATCTTCAACAGGCCTCAGTAGTTTTGCAACTACCAAGAGTTGAAGTTCCTTTCATTCTTCTCTGATGGCTTTCTATGGCTTCAAGGGAGATGTCGATGAGTGTTACTGGACTCCTTATATGAGCAGTACTTGTGATTATGATGCTCTTCTTCCACCTCCAGCTTCATTAGCATATTCTTCATATGAGGTGAATGAGCCAAGATTATATTCTTACAATTTCTTTGATTCTTATGCCACTCAACCAGTACAGAACTACTCTGTGCATAGTTTTTCTGAACCGAGGCTTATCCAATATGAGCCACCTCCCTCCTATGGTGTTGATTCCTTTTATTCTCGGACAAATTACACAGTCTCTTACTCCACCTTAGAGTTTAACGAGCCTGAGTGGGATGAATATGATCCAACACCTTATGGTGGCGGCTATGATCAAACTCAAACCTATGGCAAACCTCTTCCTCCCTCAGATGCAATCTGTTATCCTCGTTCCACCCCACAACCAAATGGTGAATTGTTGGGCGGCTTTTCATATGCATCCATTCCTTCAGCTTATGGAGAAAAAGATGACCATTCAACGAAGCCTGATGATGGACGCAAGCCTACTGACACCAAAGAGCAAGAGCAAGAATCCCTTGATGGTGATGCAGATACTGTTACCGAGGGAACTGATGACAATGTTAAGGACGACGACGATCTTGGGAAACCTCTGGAGGAAAAACTTGGTGATGTTGATGGGAAATTGCCGGAGCGAGAACCCCGGGATTTTGATGAAATTCCTTCATCTGATTATGGAAGAAACGGTGGATATGGTCATGAATGGAACAAGCAAGTACCATATATTCCGTATGGTTCTGGTTTGGAATCTCTGGACCTTTGTGAAAGTATATTCGGTTATTGGCCCTGCTTAGCCAAAATCGAACGGCAGCAGAAATGTCCAGTTTGTGATGAAGCAAACAGAAATGACCCCTGGAAAAGCACAGCAGATTATCTTTTCGGAAGTCCCTATGGATATGGTGAGCAACAGGATGGAGGTAGTGGAAATTATTATGATAGAAGCGGAAGTTATTATCAGTATCAACATCAGTACCTACAGCAATGAGCATGGCAATCACAGAAGAGCAAGCAACTTCTTTTGATGGATATTGACATGTATTTAATTCTGATTCACTTATGTTTACAGAAGATCATATCATGCATGTTTCATCTATTTAATTGGAGGGCAGATTTTAACTAATTAGTTTGAAGACTTGTACGGATACAGTGCAAACTTTGATTTGAAAACTCCGCAGATTTAATTACAGATACAGGGATGCATCCACAAACACTCTGCGAGGAATGTCTGGAAGCGAACAGGTACAAGGACAACATAATTCAAGCGTCTCTCACAAGGAAACATGGAAGATTAAAAATGAAGAAAATCAATTAGAAGACAGATGAAAATATGGGGCGGCAATTTAATGCAGCCGACGGTAAGCAAAGAAGAAAAAGACCAACTTGAACAAGAAAAAAAGAATAGAAACTAAAATGAGGATAAAAGGATAAGATATCAAACAAGAAAAGGCAGCAACGGAATACATATATGCCTGGTAGAAACAGGAAAGCCTAGGTCAACAAACTCAAAGAAGAGGATAGAAACAATCCCGATTTTGTTAAGAAATTGGTACTGGACGAAATACAGCAAGTGTATCAACAAAATTATCATTTTATCAGAAAAGGAAGAAGAGGATAGAAACCTGAATGCAAAATTAAGTTGCAGCTAGTTGATGATGATTCGCTTCTGGAATCTGAATGTTGGCTTCTCTTTAGTAATTTTACAGTTTGACTTTTTTCAACTCTTTCCAAGAATTTGACTATCAGTCTTAAATTCCATATCTAGAGCCTAATCTTGTCAATCCAAAGTCCAAGCCCACACCTGAATTGGGATTCGAGATGCCTACGAGGTATAAAACCTGATTTGGCAAATTTATATGTCAAAAAAAAATATAACATGCTAAGATGCTAGAAAGAAAGACTATTAAAAATTTCACATGTGTTATTGTTTGGATTAATATTTTATATACTTTTAGTGTATATACTATCACCGTTAGATTATAACAATTAATTTTAATTAAAAATTAAAAATTAAAAATTTAAATATGTGTCATACATTCAACTCAATCGTATTAGTGATTACTAATATGATGATGTATATAAAATTAACTTTTACTGATAAATGTTTGTTGCTCCTACTTGGGCCACTTTCAGAGTTCCAACTTTGCCCATGATTTTTGAAAAGTTGCCCGTTGCTAAGGCCTAAGAGTCATTGGAACCCGATTTTCAACTTGATGGGGCCGAAGCGAGTTGGAAATCGCAGGCCTACATACATGGTGCAACTTGTTGGGCTCGTTGCAATCTCATGCAAAAATCAAATTGATTCGATCAAACTTGTCATTAGTTTAAACAATTCGACTTTGATCATAGAGAATTAATAATAAAAATTTAATACCATAAATACATCACTGAAAATCCATGACGCACCCCTAATGATAGCTCTAGAAAAAAAAAAAAAAAAAAGGACAACGGTGTGGAAGTACCTTGTTCTGATACTGTGATACGACAACAATCGTTAGAAAAATATAGAGAAAATTAATTACCCGTTTATCCTGTGAACTCAACTTTTTTTTTTTTTTTTTTATCAATTGTCATCCCTACTCCTACTCCTACTCTATCTACGGGAGAGGCTCAATTGAGCTTATGGGGATTGATAGGGACAGAATCACCACTGGATCAGACGGGTGCACTACGCACCCGTCTGGATTTGAAGCAGAGCCACAAGAGTGACATTTTGGTGGGAGACAAGGTCCCCACCAAAGCCTTAAGGGTCAAACCTTGCCCCAAAACCTGCCTTAAGGGCTTGGTGGTGGCCACCAACCCAAAAGCTGATGGTTTGTGAACTCAACTTGATGAAGTGACAGTCTGTTGTTCACTTCTTCCATAGAAAAGTATTTATCTTTTGTCATTTCAAGTGCAGAATAATTTTTAAATGGTTAAAATTTGGGAAGCTGATCACGGGCAACTAATTGGGTTCCACGATATGTAGATTCTGATTTGGCGGTTGATATATAATCTGAAGTTAACAATAGGTTTATCATGCACATCACAAAACAAATGAAATTTGAGCATGGCGGCTGAATATTTGTACCCATTCTGCGTCGAAAACATTAAAATAAGATGTTTACCAAGAATATATAGTGATTTAATAGATGTTGGAAAAGGAAATAATACAGAAAATGAGATAGAAGATCTTTTACGGAAAAAATATCTCATTGGGAGTGTTACCATAATAATATCAACGGGGTTACTGGCTGGCATTTCCACGCAATCATTATGTTGCCAACGTCTACTAGACAATTGCTTGCCAAGTTACTTAAAGCAAGTATTCATTTTTCAAAAATGGCTTTTAGAATTCGTGAAACTGCATGTTTTCAAAATTGAGTTAGTCAACCAATTGACATTTTCACCTATACTAGTGTCCTGATTATCCAAAAAAGTTCTATTGATCTGGCAATTTGAACTAGCTAAACTATTGAAGGTTTGTTTGTTTTTTTTTCACAAATTCTTGCGAGATATGCCTGGACAATCAGTGAAAAACAAAGAAAGCTGTAAAAGGTAATACTGATTCTAACTGCTGAATTCGTGTACTGGAGCTTAGCCCCAAATCTGCAACCCAAAAAAAAAGGCGCATTTAAAGGCAAAAAAAAAAAAAAAAAAAGAGCGGCGAAAAGATTTCACTGATTCTTGCGTATACTCTTTTGTTTAGATAGCAATACAGATCAGCTGGGCAGCTTTTTTTTTTGCTTTGGTTGAGTTGTAGCTCTTTTTTAGCTTCGTTTTGTCTTTTTCAATAAAACGGCTATTTTACATTAAAAAAATTTCACTAAATTAGTCTCATCTAAGATTTTACGTCGCGCTATTCTGGCATATAGTCCTGTCAACTCTCATGTGAATGTGTCTATAAATCTTTAATATTTAATTTTGGGGATAATTTTAGAAACCTCGCTCAAGATTTTTGACAATTTCATTTAGTATCTTTGAGATTTTCAATATTATACTTAGCTCCTTTAATACTATAAAATGACCATAATAATCTTAAAATATTAATATTTTTCATGCGATTAAACGATCGGCTCCCAATCTTGTGCATATGAATGCATTTCACACAATGAGACACTAAATAGAAACAAAAACAAGATTCACTCGTGAAATAACCAATTATGTCCTAAATACAATTTTAATATATTACAAATTAATTTTAGCTTTCCTTGGAGGATTTGGAGATGAATAAAAAAAGATGCGTACTAAAGGTTTAAGAAGAATGAGGCTGGTGTTAGTACTCCAACATTTCAATGATAGGGTTTTATATTAATGTAGCTCGTGATTTTTTGTTTTGTTGAGATTGATGGTGCTAATTATTTTATTTTATTATTTCTTTATTTGTTTAGATTGAGGTTTTAGAATTTAGGGATTGGTGGTGGCGGTGACCATGGAGATAGTGGTACTGATTTACGATATAGGAATATGGATGGTTTAGAACAATAGACATTAGGGTTAAAAGTGGATTTGTGATGTTGTGCATGCTTCAATTTTTTTTTAGGAGCTTTATGAGAAAGTGAGATGAATTTCACAATTTCATGAGCGTATTCATTCAAAATTTTGACCATTGAATAGTTTTTATTACCAAAATAGTGACTTCAAGAGAGTTATGTGTAATTTTTAAGACCTCAAGGGAATTAAGTGAAATTGTCAAAAACCTCAAGGGTGGTTTCTTAAATTATCCCTTAATTTTGAGATAAATTTCAAAACAGTAGTCAAACAATGGGTGGGAGAGAGGAGAACGAGTCAAAGATGGGAAAGTTGCGGACAGGTAGGTGAAGACTCAAGGTACCTCGACAAAAGCACAAGACATTCCAATCAATGGTTGTACCATAATATCATTAGCTAGGCCTGGAAAGTCATGAGGAGGAAGAAAGTGGCTGTCTAGGTGCCACTATATTAAAGACAAATATACTGCTACAAAGTTTAAAAGGCGTCATTTCATTTGTTTATTGTCCTGTTCTTAGTCAGGAAGCCCGCGATTTCAGGAGGATTGTGGCCAATATTATGACCGCCATAGCAATTTTTATGTGCATTACTTTTTATCATGACAGTTTATTGGCAAAATAATCACAAGCATGCTTGGAAACCTTCTTGTCACTTTCAAGAAGGCGAGTCTGAGTTATCGAGAGCTTTATACACGTATGTATGCATCTACATACGTATATAACAATAACAGTCGTAATAATAATAATAATAATAATAATAAATTTTTAGGCTTCGTTTTAATGGAATAATAATAAATTATCACCAGATAATAATAATAGTAGTGAGAGTGACGTAGCACATTATTTGGTGACTTCTATTGGTATTAATTAGTATGTTGTTGTGTGGCGTATATGGTGTTCCTAATATTTTTCCAAAGCATGGGTCAATGAAGTGAACAAAATGAAATTCTTGTATATTTGTGCTTTCTTTAACACTTTTTATTTGGTCTTTTGCCTTCAATAACTTGTTCACGGAATTGTATAATTAACAAAATAAAATGCAGTAAACAGAATGAAATTCTTGTATACTTGTGATTTCATTAACTTTTTTTTTTTTCCGTTTTTGAAGTGAAAATTCCCTTTTTGCATCTAAACTCCATTATCCGTCAATAACTTGTCCACCGAATTGTATAATTAACAAAATAAAAACATACTTAGACAGAACAAAAGGCAGAAGAAAGATCCAAAGCAGCTCGAACCTCGTAGTTTCCGTCGTCGGATTCGCCAAAAGGGGACAAGGGATTATTCGTCAGCTTTGATCATGAAGATTCTGCTTCTTCTTTCTTCTCCCAGATTATTCACGTGACATGATTGTCACTTTCTTGCCTGTTACCATGCAGATGCAGCTGCATCCAAGTTTAGACGCAAGCAATTTGTCTAGCTTTTTAGCTGGGCATATATGCTTCAAACTTACAAAGCCTATCCCCCGACTCAAATGTCGGTTACAATGGAAACCTAAATTAAAATTTTGCTTATTGAT